AATAAACTCAACTGGAATTCAAACATGGCTCACTGATTTCTTCTTCAAAGCCACTATTACATCACCAGTACATTCTAATTTAATCTAATATTCTTCTTCAAAGCCACTATTACATCACCAGTACATTCTAATTTAATCTAATATTCTTCTTCAAAGCCACTATTACATCACCAGTACATTCTAATTTAATCTAATATTCTTCTTCAAAGCCACTATTACATCACCAGTACATTCTAATTTAATTTAATATTCTTCTTCAAAGCCACTACATTCTAATTTAATCTAATATTTAATTAAATATTAATTAACATTTATTTCAACACTACTAATTAGGAATATAGGTAGCTCTTCAAGCTGGAAATGCAAAATAATTATATGGGATTATAATTTAATTATAATTGGATTAACAATTCAGACCAAAAGAAAAATGATAAAAATCAATAAGTATCATCAGTATCAGTCATATAAATTAAAAAATATTTCTTTACAAAACTTTTCACAGAACATTATCTTTATATGGGGGTCAAGAACAGTTTAAGTGAAGGGTTTCTTGGTTCTGTCACTCTCAGTGTGTAACAGAACAATGAGAATGCTATCACTGCCTGATCTTAGATCATATTTCCTTTGTTCTTTTGATTATCTGGCTTAAGTCATCTATACAGAGGTTGAATTGTTGATAAATCTATTTTTACTTAGTTACCTTCCATGCAAATTATAAAGGTGTGAACATTTCTTGTTCCAAGGGATGACCCTGATTACTGAAAGTTTGAAATCAGGCCAAAAATGGCAGAGCTTTAGGTATATTGATGGAAGACAATTGGTAAATTAGGTATATGTGTATTCATGTGACATTAATTATTTCCTTTTGACTATGTAAGAAGGTTAGCATTGTAGATTATCAATAAAAGAGTACAGAAAACATGGCTGACTTATACTAAATGTATGGTGTTTGTTGTCTGTTAATACCAAAATTTTTCCAATACACACTTCTATCTCTATATTTCACAGATAAATCATAGACTTTTACAGGTCTTATTAATATGAATAAACATACACACATACATTGAAATATGTACATGTATATATGTTAGATACAAAAAAAGAGAAAAACTATGTAAAAGGAAGCAAAAAAGAGTGTGATTACATAATGATTTAGTGTGCGTGTCTATATAAAGTGTATATAAAAAGCTAGTTCTATTTACAAGAAGTCAGATTAATTTACAGTGAAGAATTTCTTTGTTTTTTATTTTTGTGCTACATTCTTTTAAAATGAAGAATACATTCCACAATTAAAACAGGCTTCATTCAGTTTAAATTAAAACAGGAGCTGTATCCAAGAATCCGAATACACTCATCTCTGCAGGAACAGATTGAAGAAGTCACAGTAAGGAGCAGCTTAATTAATTTAGCACAAAACAAATGAAAATTAAATGGCTTTACTTTGTGGCTGAAGATAGAATTTGCTCAGGAGTTATTTTAAAAGTTTTGCATTTGGAAATGTTTAGAAATTAGGAAAATCTATGACAAAGTGGAAAATTTTTATTGCGTGACATGTTTAGACCTTTAGGACTTCATTGGACTAAAGTGATGTTTACATTGATGGGATTACACATACACATGAAAGAGTGTGGAGAATGCTGAAATTTTAAATTTGAATCTAAATTTTTTTTTTTAAATATGTGTTTGGGTATACAGATGAGCAAATTTAATTTAGTTTCTTTATATTTTATCACTTTTGTTAATAAATATCCGACATTGTGATAATAGAAGATCTGCCAAGAAAGATGAATTGTTGTAAGAACATGGATGTAAACATAATAATGCTCACAGTTTTAATCTTTGTTCTACTAAACAGACTACCTCTCAAAGGAAGCTGTCTGTTTAGCACATGAGAAAGTCATTGTAATTAGAAGGAAGAAATGTGTTATAGTGGAACACATCTATTCTATAGTTAATAGACTCTCCCATATATAATAAGTAGGAGTAGTAAGAGTAACGAGTCGGTGAGTCAGTTGATGTCGGACGACAGTTAGTCGGATACTAAAGTATCAGCGACCACAACTAGATTACTTTGCATTATACCTATTATATCAAGTTCCTAACGTTTTGTACGTCGGACCTATTTTAGGACCGACTTAGTACAAATACAAGCCTCCACTGTGAAATCACTCCACAACAAAATAGAATTTAACATCTAAAAAAAACATTTTAGAAGATTTTCTTTTTCAGAAACACTGAGAAAATGAGTTTCAAATCAATTTATCCCATGATCTAGTAGATCAGCAGGGTTCCATACTGGATCCTTCATGGTATGTCTTAAGAGGGATTACTTAGCTCTATCCATTGTAACCAAAGTAACATGCATACCGAATCATATGGTACCAGCAACAAGAACTGGATTTATAACTTTCCCAAGGACATTAGTTGTGGCCAGGTCAAGGCCAACTGATGCTGTAACCTCAGGTACTCACATCAACCTTACCCTGATAACATCTATACATTGAGTTACTGCCTTTAATTTAGTAACACAATATATTCCTGTAATTAAAATATCTACCTATTTATGAGATTAAATAATTAGGAGAAATTCTGGAACATCATACAATCTATATAATAGTAAACATTAAAATAAACATATCCAGGAACATTCTTGGAGGTATATGAAATAAAGCCATTTTCCAATGGAGGATGACATCATCAGTCCCATGATCAGATGTGGTCATGGGGTTGCTGCGTAGCTGACATCCTTCTTTGTTGAAAGTTGGAAAAATATTCATTCATGCATAGTGTGTTTTGATCCTTCTTCTGGTCAAGTCAAAACTAATATCTTTTAACTTAAAGGTTTGCCTCAGTCATAGACATATGACTGTTGATTCCATTTGGTGGGGGGATCCTCCACTCTGCCCACTGACTTCAGTCTCCATTCAATGATGCCATGTCATCATCACACTAGTTGCATACATAGTTATGGAGCCTCATCTACCCCATTGTGCTAGATGGCCTTGGATCCAACAAAACAATTTTCATCCACTCTTTGACAGGCCTTTTTAATGCTTCTGGATGTCTAGCCACCCTCCTCACCAGAAAGGCCTGGTAGAACCAATTTAGTTGCGATGACCTGGCCAGTAGGTAGTACTGTGTTTCACTAGCACTCATGACCTGACATAACAATGTGTCCTTTCAAAAAATGAAAAAGAGGCATGATTTTCTTGGTTTAAATTCTTTACAAAAAGAGTTAATAAACTAAAATTTTTTCACCTGTTTCTTACTCACTTTTTCACAAGCCAATTAGGTTTTATTGCAAATATGAATAAAAATTCTATGGTATTCCATTTCTTTGGGTGTTCTAAGCTTTCTGGCTTGGCTGATTTTATGACATGTCAAGCATTGTATTTGTAAGCTTAGATTGACACAAGGCTCTTAACGTGGAGTACACAGGATTAAACATAATGGTAATGGTTTACTTGACTGATTTGATAACCATTATGCCATAATGAGGTGTATAGAAAGAGAGTTATTTAATATATGAAAATTAGTCTGGCACAAGGTCAAAAGTATGGGGTAGAAAGATGAATGGGAATTACTTTTACATCTACAGGACACACTTGTTACCCATTGAAGCATGATAGGTACCAATTTCCATTTACTAAATTAATTTAGTGTAGAACAAGGCCACATGTGTAATGGTCTGTAAGACTAAGTCACTTAACCATTCCCCTACAGATAGGTGTTTGTGTAACTGTTTTTTTGTATACATGTCCTCTTACATGTATAACAGAAATGTGGGAGTTTACTTTTTTTGAGGAAATTTTCCTGATCTCCCCTTGTGTTTATTAAGACCACAACACTTATTAATGTTGCACTTTCTGAACATTAAGTAATTTTTTTGATCCCCACTTATTTAACCCTTCAGCATTCAACATGCTCGAACATGCCCCATAAATATCGGCTCTCATTATTTGTAATGAAGTTGTCATATACTATGGCAGAGTATACATGGAGCAGATTACAGTGGGTTGAACATTGAGAGCTGATATTTACTGGTTGGGTTTGGGTATGTTGAATGCGAAATGGTTAAATTGACTCGATTTATTGCATTTTGAGAAAAATTCCAATTCCATCAATTATTAAACACTTAGGAGTATGTATGCATATACACATATATAAAATCCTTTATTCTCATTAATAACGCAGATTATTTAAAAGGTGAGTAATTTTAGATCTTTTTTTATTAGCTTTTGTTATAATTTTTTAAGAATTAAATGAAGGAATTGTATTATAAAAAGATATTTTTTTTAGATATTTCATCTTCCTTAACCACTTGCTTCTAACTGACAAAGTACAGGGCATTCCCCCCAAATTGACATCATTTTGTACTTTATTAACATAGCCAATTGTTACTCAAATGATCTCAAATTTTAACAAAATGTACAAAATCTAACTAAGTTGACTAAGTGCAGTTATCTCAATGAGGAAGATGGATCAGGTATGCCAGTGTCAATGACAACATACTGTTTAAATGTTCACCCTGTTCACCTGACTTGTGATTTTTCAAAAGGACAAATCTATATCCCTGCTCTTCCTAAAAGCTAAAAGGAACTTCAGCAGAGAATCACTTGTTATGCAAGACATGCTACAGCATGTTTAGCAGAAGCTGGATTACTGACTTGACATGTGTCATGTCATAGGTGGTGTGTATATTGAACATTTGTGAAGCTTTTTGAAATTGATTATAAAATCTACATCCCTTTGAATATTTTGTCCAAATTTTGATAAATAAATATTTTATTGTTCAACATGAAGCCTATTTAATTTTGTTTGCCTGAGACATATAGTAACATGTAATGATGTCAATTTTGGGTGGGGGACACCCTGTATATCATAAAAATTTAATTGTCTTTTGGAAAAAAGTTAAAAAGAAAATAAAAAAAAAATCCTGGTTATCAAATGATTAAACCAGTGATTGTTTTTTTTTTTTAATCTTAGAATTTCAAACATACCTTTCCAATTTCATCTTTGAGTTTGTATTGATTCAGTTGTATAAAACCATCAGAATCTGTAACTGACACTCTACGCGTTTCCAAGGTGGGTTGATGTCTCAACCGAGGTGAGGATGTTGGTGACCCCACAGGAGAGTAACCAAACCGTCTGTATGAACCAGCTGTGTCAAGGCTTCCATACATTTTTGTGTGCATGTTTCGAGCCAAGCAGTTTTGTCGGAGGCACTGTCTAGACTTAGTGTGACTCATGACTGGCTGAGAACCCTGCTGGTTATTTACAAGGCTGTTACATGATGAACAATTGCGCAAGGCTGCATTCCCCGTTGAGATAGTGTTAATAACATTAGGCACATTCAGGTGACCTGAATTGTCAGCGAATGCAATGCTGTGTCTTCGATGTGAATCTGACTCTAACAAGTCCTCATTGAGGCTTTCATGCTCTTCATTTTCACTGGTAGAACTGCGTCCTGAATCACTGTTAATATTTGAAACCTTGCGTTGCAATGGTGGAGGCTGAAAAACATTAGGTACGCTATCTTCCATGACTGATGATTGTGAACTCTTCAAATCAACACCATAATGAGGTTCTTGGTATTGCCTCGAGAATTCTGATATGTGATCTTCCACTGGTTTACTGCCTACGCAAGCATGAGCATAAGGGAAGTGATCCATTGCTGATTGTTCTCCAACTGTCTCATTGCAATCAGATGACATCCCCTTCTCTATCATGTCGTCTTCGTCTTGGCCACAATCAAAGTGGGAGTTCCTGAAATGAAGAAAGTGAAGTTTATTACTATAGCAAAGTGAATGAAAATATTTCTTTCATCTTCTGTTATCATCTGCTGTAATCTTAATTGAGATTCTTAAAGTATTGTCAATTATTTAGGCACGTCAAGTCCATAGCTTAATGAAAAAAACATCTTACATAATAAATTTGTTGAACATAATCTGCTTTACCAATGCACTGAATTCAGCAGTGAATATTAATGACATAGATGAAACATTTTACAGTGAGTACTTCAGATTAAAATTCATCTAAAAACTACATGTTGAACAATGTATTTATTGATCCCCTTATATTATTAATTTTTTGATTATTTTTTCTTCCATCTTATATCTGTTACTCTTTTATTGTAATTGCCAGATCATCAGAGCATGACTTGTATTTAAGGTAAATAACTGATGCAGTATTATTCAAATTTCTTAGATGAAAACTAGTCTTCTTTCATTTTTATTTCTGTTGCCATTCAATGTAATTAAAACCCTCTTTCTGCATTTGTTATTAAACAACATAGAATAGAGATAAAGAATAAGCCACCAGTGAGATTTTAACACTGCTTTTTCCTTGGGAAAGGTGCAACTGCCTTACCAATTAGGCTATAAAACCTATCAACTCTAACCATATATTTCCCCCAAATGCCTAACATGCTAACATCTTTTAATTTTGCTGTTTACATGAATTTGTATTGATGATCATATTAGTATTTATATATGATTAATAATCATATTATTTTGAATTTATGATTAGATGAAGCACTGTCAATTATTAATTTTACATAGTTTTTCTTTCAGCAAAAGAAATATGAAAGAAATACCAGTAAAAGTAAAAATAATATCAATACTTTATTTGATTAATCCACTTGCCTGCCAGAGAACTTCTGCTAACAACTGCTTAATGGCATTACTAAAAACAATAATTAAGGGAAGGGTAATTGAATGAGGTATATGATATGAATGTAAGAGAGGTGGCAAGAAGTGAAGGTTATGAAGAGGAGGAGGATAGATAATGACTGACTCTTAAGTTGAAGAGGTTAAGATTGTAGTGTTCAGGTGAGCATCTAGACAAGTCTGCTCCAAAAAATAGCAGTTCTTTGGAAAAAGCTGTCTGAATGGAACGTTCTTCTTAAAAAGGAAATATAAAAGAAATGTGGATGGTTTGACTATGGATATGTCATAGTGTGTCCTAGCTGCAAAGGTTTGAAATGGTGGCACTAAAGAATAAAAACCATATTAATATCTGCCATGAAAGTACCCATAGACTTAGGAAAGAAGTTGTACATTGGAAATTGTCATCCTCAATCAAACTGTATACAATTTTGAACTCTATCAAGGCTTGAAAGTGAGGATCGAGCAGCTCCAGCCAATATATAACAGTAAGACTATTTTTAGCTTGATCTGGCTCTTGTAAAGATAAAGCATGGCAGGAGGCAGGTATTTTCTCTAGTACTACAGGGAGCCCACCATTTTTTCAGCATTTTTAACGATGAATCGTATATATGAATTCCACTTGATGTTTGGAGTGAATTTAAAACCTAATAGACATTCAGAACATCAGAGTTGTGAGTGCAATGATAATGCTTGATCTATATTATTAATATTCAGCTGCATTAACATTAATGAGTTTACAACACCACCATCCTCTGTGCTACTATACAACACTGGGACATGGCCTCTCACTAAGATTCTCACCTCCTGTGTCCATGGCTTTGAACCCCATTCCCTCAGAACCATTGAGGAGGAGCACTTGTTTGATCTTGTGTTCAATGAAGGCCAACCAGTAAAACACATGATTGTTCAGCACTGTGTTCGCTGGCTCAGTCACGTCCTGCTATAACTTGATCACTCTACCAGTTCAACTAGCCATCTGCAAACTAGTGAAGACCTTGCAACAGACCATGTAGCCGTTGGAAGAACATCTTCAACAGATTAATCTCTGTACTGGAAGATGGTCCAATGCTCTGCCAAGACTGTGAGAGCTAGAGGGACAAGGTGGCTCTCATGTGCTCAACATTTTCATGAAATGAGATTTAGCAGTAGCAACAGCAACTGCATTAACTGTACTAACAATGAAGGAGATTCTGTGGGAAATAAAATGCTCTTTTTCATCATTAGACTTTGGATCTAATGGTCTATCCTAATAACTCTATAAGTATATACAAGGTTTGTGATTGTGTGTGAGAAAGAAGGAGAATGTATATGTTAAGTTATAAATTGGCATCAATGTGTATGCAAGTGAAGTATAGAGAACTTCTGATTGCAAAGAGAAATATAAAATGAAACCTTACATGTTAGTAAAAAGAAAGAGAGAATGTGTGTGAGTGAGCTTGACCTGAAAAATGAATGACATTTAATCTTTTCAAGTGTTGGCCACTTCAATTAAAAATTGTGTTATACAAGAGAAATCCCTTTCCTAAAAAAAATAACTTTCATTTTGTATAAAAAAAAAATAGTACTTTAAAATTGTTTATCATTATTGCATATATATTTCGTTACTAATATCACATGTATATTTAAAGGCAACAAGCAAAAATCAAAGAATTAACAAAAAACAAGAATTAATTCCCAGCCTATGGATCAACCACTGTGGAAGAAAATTGACTTTCTAAATTAACTTATAAATTGTACATCCACTAGTATTCCAGAAAAAATATTAATGAAGGGAAAAGAAAATATGAAAAGAGGAAATAGAAGAACCTGTTAAAAAAAATACTATATTCAAGAATATCAAAATGGTCATTTGTATTTTTATATTATCTCATATAATAAACAAAACTTTTTTAAACTGTCTGATCACATTTATAATTGTTCCTATGCAATAGTCAATAAGAATAAAATTAGAAATTGATTTATTGAACTGTTTTTGTAGTTTATTAACCATTTAAAGCTTATTTAAAGCCAGAAAATATTTTTTAGATTGTAAGAAATTTTTTAAGATAATAACAATTTGCTGGTACAAGTTCTACTAATGAACCTGGGAGAGAAGAGGTGGATTCAGATCTTTCCCAAGGGTATTTGCACATAAGTGAATATAATGAACCTGACTGGAATTGGAACATGGCTCTCCACTTTTTTCTAGTTCCAAGCTATTATCCATTACACTGCCACCCATATTCTCAAGCTTACAGCACCTGGTATTCCCTAATGGTTAACTGTCTAGGTAATGACCAGGCTAAATGTTGCTTAACTTCAGTTATTGTATAAGAGCTGGTGTATCAGTGGGATATGATCATAAGCCCCAAAATTAGAAAGAACTTATTTACTGAATAATAAACTCCTACCAAAGTAAACTATACCATATATCATGAGTCATTTAACAATTCACTCCTGCATTATTATAGCACTGTTTCCTGGCTGTGTTGACTTATTTTGGGAAAAATAGGAAATTGCTATTTACTGGAAATAAATGACTATAAAGATGTTGATAGCAATTTCTTATGGCACCACCATTTTAATTTTTTATAAGATAGTCTGCAATATGAATTAAGCTAAACAACTCTCTCAACACAATAAAAATACATAACAAAACAAGTTGCATTATATGTTAGTATATATCTATGCTGATTTGGAAATAGCACTAAAAGTTAGTTAATGTCAGAGTTGACATTTCATCATGTCTTGAAAAAGTGTATATATATAAACAGCAGTTTTTTAATATCTATATAAATGCTATTAAATCTTATCCCAAAATGTATCTCTGTGACATGACACCTGCTTCCATTGGCTTTTTTGCCAAGCTGAAGTTTATAGTATCAACACTGGGACATGGCCTCTCACTATGACAGTGATAGGATTGTCTCCTCAGGCTGATATTATCAAGAAGTCATCTCTTTCACAAATCAAACATGATGAGATTCAAACATATACAGAGTGCAATGGGTAAATTTGTGCCATTTTATATTTTTCAATTTGCACATGCACATTGTTTTTGATTTTGTTGATGGCACAGTAGAGTCAGTTGGGCACCACCTGTGAGAAAAAGAACTATGACACAATCCACTCCATCATAAATTTGGAAATGGCATGCTGTACTGTTTGGCATTCACACTGGATGCTTCAGTATGAATATTTCAGAGTGTTTGGGTGACAATCTGAGGATAGTGCAGAGGATTTGGAAAGAGTTGGTGGAGTCTAGTAGTGATTACAAAGGTGTTTGGAGTGATCACTAGTGAAGGTGACGTTATACCTCCATTCATCTTCCCACAAGGCCTCAGATTCAACACAGAAACCTACATCAAGTGCTTTGAGGAGGTAATTCTGCTCTGGGTCAAGAGAGTGGCTGCTAGAAGACCATATGTCTGGCAACAGAACTCAGCATCATGTCACACAAGCAAGAGAACCCAGTAATGGCTGTCAGACAATTTCTACAACCACATCACCCCTTACATCTGGCCATCTAACTCCCCAGACTGTAACCC